CACCACCCCCACCCAGGATATCCCCGTCAAATTCTTTTTTTAAAATAAAATTGGAACAAATATTTCAAATTTTAAAAAAATTCATTTTTTATGTCACCCCCACACCCCTATTCCACCCCCAGTCGCCACCCCAGCAAACTTGTCAAATTTTTTTTTCTCAAAAAATAAAAAATTTGTGGTTCAGGTCCTAGGTCAGATCTCAGGGTCGAATTTTGGAACGGTCATTGGGGTCTTATCCTAGTATGGGTGTCGGGGTCGGATCCTAGATCAATTATCGGGGTTGACTTTCGGATCAGAAATTATTTTTCTAAAGAATTTTTTTTTAGTCTCAAACCAAAAATAAAAGATATTTTCTGGAAAAAAAAAATTCATTCACCAACCAAACATTAAAACATATTTTCTACTCACCAACCAAACATGAGAATATAAGTTAAAAATTTATTTGTTTTGAAAGAAAACATTTTCCTTCCTACCAAACACGCTCAAAATGTAATCTTTGCACGAATTCAGGTTGGGGATTTAGTTAAAAATATCACCCAACGGATATTTTCAAATTTGTTTTTCCCTTTACATCTTCAAGGATCAATCGAATTTTCTAATATCGCTAATTGAAATAAAAGGCGATCTCTTCATAATATCATAATGTACAAACATAATGGAAGAGGGATGTAAATACTAAATTGATCCATAATATATATTTTGAAACTCCACTCTTACATAACAACATTATAAAGGATTAAAAGATAGTACTTTCGAGCTTAAGATAACTAAAATACATATGAACTTAAACATCAAACATATTACAAAGTCGAATGAAGTAATAGAAAAAACTTATTAAAGTAGATAGTATATAATTACTCGAAGAGTCAAAGTTGAAGGCCACTCCCTTGAAGTTTCAAGCTTGTAAGTTTGTCAAGTCGCTCTTCCATTTTAGGTGTCATGTGATTCTTCCAATCCCCAATAATTCCTTTTCTGAAATATGAATTACTGGGGACACCATGGAAGAGTGATCCACTCTTATTAACCTCCAAGTTCTTAAGCCTTTCCAAGCTACACTTGTTCAAAACTATCTCCAAATCCTCTTCATTTCTAAAAGATTTTCCAAGAAACAAGGCTATTTTTTTCAACTCCTTTTTAGGGTCCATTTTCAAGTTTTCATACTTTAAAAATAATATTTTTTGAGGCATTTTTTTTCTTTCTTCCCAATATTCAAGAACATGTTCAAAAAATGGTCCATAAAGATGAACCCCATTGCAAAAGGACTCCACAGCTTCTTCTAAAGGAGAGGGATTTTCTAAGCGCTTATGACTATAGTTGATGAAATGCCACATTGAAATTAGGGTATCCTTAGGATTTCTTGTTATGTATATAATTTTGCAATTATCTGAATTTTTGAATGAATCTGGCAAAACCCTATAAGGTAAATGAGTGTGAAATAATCTTGGAGAGGGTATTGTGTATAGATCATGAGCTAAAGCTTTTGTATAATACTTCATAGCCTCTATTGTTGGAACATGAAAATGAGGATTATCCTTAACCAAAAGATCTTCTTCTTCCTCTTTATTACCTTGCATGATGCATACACATATGGCCTTGAGCCATGTTGAACCTATAAGACAAACAACAAACATTAGAACGAAAATATATAGTTGATATGTCGATAAAATATTGAAAATATGAATAGAATTTGATATATATACATAACTTGAGATCTATATATACGAATATTGGACATTCTAATTTTTAAATGTATACGCGCAACAAAAAATTCATAACCACACTACAAATTTTTCAGAACTATATTCACAATGTGTGTGTTAATTACAAAATATATTTTTTAATTTTCTCATGTCTAGTTGTTTGGATAGATCTTGAAAATAAAAAAATTACTTATATAATGAGAATAGAAAAACAAGTTTCATAAATGAAATTTCACGCTACACGTTCTTCCCATACCCAACCACCACACCCCTTCCCTAACCCCCAAAAAAACCTGTTTTCATGGAAGATGCCAAGAGAACATCATTAGGAACTGATTTGAAGGTTGCCTTGAGGTCCATGGTTTCCTTCATAATAGAAGGACTGCACCAAAAACCTTCCCACTGATATAGATCAGATTTGTTCCAAGAAAGAATTTTGAGTACTTCTTCATCCATTTCCACCAAATTATTGATAATTGGTGATGATTCTTTGTCACTCATTTTAGGAATGTGAAAATAATAGAGTGTTGTGGTAAATGAAATTAAGGAGAGAAGTAGTTGATCAAATGATATGTATGCCTGTATTTATAGGGAAGGAGCTATGTTAGTGGCTGAAACTCTAGGAAAAGAACAGTTATACCTAAAAAAAAGTAAAATATTTATTCTTAAATGCGTCATTATTTTCATATTTTTTATTTTAAAATGACATATATATATATATATATATCAACTTTTTTCGCGCGTTGACGTCAGGACCCATCATTTTTTCCTCTCTGATGCCATCACAATATATTACAGTATATGAATGTACTCTGATGGTATCAAAAAGTAATTGTGCAGTGTCTTCATTGAAGGACTACTTCTTCCTCCTTGATACCATCAAAGTATAATATACTTTAGTGGTATCAATGAATAACTGAACAATGTTCATTGAGGTTTGCTTCGGTTCTCAATCAGATTACTTAATCATCCATCATACCATTATGGTATATGTACATATTGTCATGGTATCATTGAGGTATGTTTCAATTCTTCGATATTTCAATTTAAAAAAATATAAAAATATATTTTCTACTAATTTAGAGTTTAATAAATAAGATAGTGACTTTAATAATTTTCTCTTAATTGTTTTTTTTAAAAAAAAAAAAAGAGTCCAATCCTATATGATACCGATGGGGTGTCAATATATCGACAGAGTATCACAGAGGATTAAGCTCAGTCCTATATGATACCGATATGGTATCAATATACCAATGGAGTATCACTAAGAATATATTTTCTACTAATTTATAGTTTAATAATTAAGATTGCGACTTTAATAATTTTCTCTTCTTATTTATTTCTTAAAAAAAGAGTCCAATCCTATATGATATTGTTAGGTCATCAATATACCGACGGAGTATCACAAAGAATATCATTTTCTACTAATTTAAAGTTTAATAAATAAGATTGTGACTTTAATAATTTTTTCTTAATCGTTTCTTATTTATTTCTTAAAAAAATAGTCAAATCCTATATGATACAGATAGGGTATCAATATATCGACGGAGTATCATAGATGATTAAGCTCAGTCCTATATGATACCGATATGGTATCAATATACCAATGGAGTATCACTAAGAATATATTTTCTACTAATTTATAGTTTAATAATTAAGATTGCGACTTTAATAATTTTCTCTTCTTATTTATTTCTTAAAAAAAGAGTCCAATCCTATATGATATTGTTAGGTCATCAATATACCGACGGAGTATCACAGATGATCAAGCTCAGTCCTGATACCGATATGGTATCAATATACCGACGAAGTATCATAGATGATTAATTCATAGTAGTGATGTTGACATCATGCTGACATCATGCACGAAATAAGAAAGGACAAAGTGGGATAAACAGGTAAATAGTTTGGGCATGGGTCCATTAAGGGTTAATAGTTGGGAAAATTATGCGAAATGGCGAACTTCTAGTTTATATAATGTAATATAGCTATAGTTAAGATTATTTTTAACCCGTGACTACAGTTTCACGAAATTTTTCTATTTGATTTCTTAATTGTATAAATCTAAAATTTGTATAATTCGGTCTCTGATTGTATAAATTCAGAATTTGTATAATTTGATTCCTGATTGTATAAATCCAGAATTTGTATATGCTTATCCTAACTATTTGTGTACGATTTATCAAAAATCATAACAAATCATCTTGTTTGTATATTGGCAAGTGAAATATACAAACGGAGTTCTAAAATTTTTCTAAATGAATAATATAGAATTTGTATATGCTTACCATGTTTGTATATTCGCAAGCAAAATATACAAACGGGCAAGCGAAATATGCAAGCCGCAACCTGCATTTGTATATACTTACCTTGCTTATATATTTGCAAGCGAAATATACAAACGGACAGACAAAATATAAAAACCGCAACCTTCATAGCAAACAGAACTATAACTATGAAGCGCAATTACTGAAACTATAACTATAGAGTCTTATTATGTCTATTATTTTTGCTATTTTTGAAACTTTTTGGGTTGAGTCCAATTTTTGTAAATAGTTTCATAATTAAGTCTATTTTGTGTAGTTTTCCCTTAACTCTAAAGCCAAGTTTGAAGGCCTTAAATTTATTTAAACTTTTTTATGAAGTTTATTGTAGTCAATCCACTTATTTTTTTCTTGATACATAATATCTTAAATTTATCAAACTTCTAATAATTCTTTCCTCTTATGTAAAAAATTTATATTTTCTACAAATAACATTGTTTTTTTAAAAAAAAAAAAACATATATAACCTATATTACTACTTAAAAAGTAAAATAAAGCACCTCAAATTTGGGGGCCTAGGCAATTGCCCTTTTTAAAGCCGGTAGAGCCGTCCCTGCAGTTAGGAGTTTAACTTGCTATGCCTCATCGTTCAATTTTATTCCCAAAATAACTTGTTTTGGTCAGCTGCTTTATAATTCTCTCTATTTCTTCGTTATTCACAAGTCACAACTGGTAATTCATCTTTGTCACTCATTTTAGGAATGAAATTAATAACAATAGTGGTAGCTCATTTACCTTATTCTTCATAGGATAAGTTCACAATCTCCGGTAGGGGTGTACAAGACTGAACCGAAAACCGAATCAAATCGCAAATCGAGTCAAACCGGAAGAAAAACCCGACTAGTGGTTTGGTTTGGTATTGGAAAAAAAAGGGTTGGTTTGGTTTTAACTAAAAAAAACCAACCCGAGACCAAACCAACCCGACATTATATATATAATTTTAAATTTTTATCTTATACGTAAAAATATTTACTTTGATATAATTTTTAAATATTTATTATACTTTTTCATAGTTTTTATCTTTTAATATATTATTTCATGTTTGAAAGTTTGAATTTTTAATGGTCCAATAAAGATTATAGTCCATAGATGTTG